AAATAAATAAAAATTTAAAAAAATTAAGTGGAATAAAGCACATCAGTGAATGCCAGAGGTCGGGAGAACAAGGGAGAAACTGACTCACAGGGTCCTGTGGGAACGTTTTTGCAGCAGTAGAGATTTCCTGTATTTTGATTACAGAGATACGCAAGTGCATATGTTTGTCACAACTCATCAAATTGTACACCATGTGGGGCTGGGGATGTAGCTCAGTGGCACAGCGCCTGCTTGGCAAGCGCAAGATCTGGAGTTCAATTCCTGGCACCGGAAAAAAAACTAAAACAAAACAAAAAATTGTACACCATACAAGGAAAGTTGATTAATTTTATGCTATGTTAATTATGCCTCAATAAAGCTCTTTTCCAGTGTCAGTTACCTGCACAAATTATTAACAGTGCTAAATTTGTGATTTTAAGGAAATATACAAATAAATAATGAGTCTATATGCACCCTATAAAAACTTCTGAAATTTTATTTCTATAAAAAATTTTTTATTTAGAAACATAATTTAATGTTCTGGAAATGCCATTTCTGGTTTTTTTTTTTGTTTTGTTTTTTTTGGCCCCACTCTTTTGGAATCTGCAGGAATACAAAAGCTTAGCAAACTTTTAAGATATATTTATTGAAATTACTGGTTTTCTTCAGAGGCACTGAAGCACTCTAAACAATTTCCTAAGAGTATACTTTATGCTGTGACCATCAAATGCAAGATCCGGTATATATAAATATAAAGCTGGGCGTGGTGGCGCACACCGGTAATCCCAGCACTAGGGAGGCTGAGGCAGGAGGATCACCGTGAGTAAGTTTGAGACCAGCCTGGGCTACTTAATGAGCTCAGGGTGAGCCTGAACTACACAGCAAGACCCTATCTCAAAACAAAACAAAACAGACTGTATACAAAAAGCACGTACAGAAACCTCTTCAGGGCAGAGACCCCCCCAGGGATTCATACAGTTGATTTAACAAAACAGCATAAAGTTTTGGCTGATTGCCATGTTGTACAGAACAATCGAACAAAATCATGGCCTGAGAAGTAACTCCAATATCATTGTGGAGTCATACATTCTTAGATCGTAGCAACGGAAGGAATTCAGACGTACCCACCAGCTTGCTTTCGGCTAAGCACCACCCCTCCCCCCACCGGGACTCTAAAGAGCTAGGGAGGGCCCTGGAAGAGATCCCACAGATTGCCAGCCCGGGGCAGCACCAGTTCCAACCCGCTGATACCTGGAGAGAGAGTGAACTGCATTTCCTTCCAGACCATGTACTGGATGGGACCTCTGAACAGGCCCGGGGCCAGCTTCCTGGAAATCAGCCCTCGGGGCACCAGCTGCCGAGTTCCTTTATCCAAGCTGCAGGGGACGAAGTCATTTATTCTGAGATGCTCTCCAGGGACTGAAGGAAGGGCATCCAGAGTGCCATAGGGAACCGCTTACCTATTCAAGAGATGTGTGATGTCCTAAGAGAGGAAAGCAGGAAGATAGAAGTCAGATGCTTGCCAGGAATATAGCTCAGGGGAATCACGCCTGCCTGGCAAGCACGAGGTCCTGAGTTCGATTTCCGGTACCAAAAAAAAAAAAAAAAAAAAAGATGCCTGCTCATCAATTCCAGAAATGTCTCTGTTGGTTCTGCTCACCATGCGAATTTGATCATTAGTACTTACATCCTGCATAGGTGGAACCGAGCTGATTTCCAGCATCTCCTTCTCTCCCTGTGCTTATGCTGATCTGCACCTCCCATCTGACCTAGGATAAACCGCCCTTCCCTCGATGCGATTTCCTGGAATTCCCTTTTAGGAGGAACAGGAGAGAAGCCGATATGACAGTGACTAGGGTTAAACGTTGTTTTGTTTTATTTTTGAACCAGGGCCTCCTGCACATGCTAGGCAAGTCCTCTGCCCCTGAGCTACATGCGTAGCCCTTCTTACTTTGAGACAGGGCTTTTCCAAATTGTACAGGGTGACCTCAAACTTATGACCCTTCTACCTTGGCCTCCCAAGTAGCTGGGATTACAGGTGCCCCCAGACCCGGCTAGTTAGGTTATTTTTTACCCATACTTTCAAAGCGTCTTGGAAGAAAAACACAGTAGCCATTCCAGTCCCGAGGGTACTTTTCCTCCTGTCGCTCCTTAGGCTGCTGAGGGGACAGTGCCGCTGTGCAGTGCCCAAGCTGGTTTCCTGTCTTTTCCAAAAGGCCAGTGAATGATCGCTGAGAGCCAGAGTCACACAGGCGGCCGCGTTCTTATTTTCGAGTAATAAATCTTCAAAGTTATTTATGGAAAAAGCTGAAAGCAGTGCTACATACTGTGGTGTTATTAATGGGATTTGATTATCTCATTTTCTAGGAGGATAAAAGCATAAGGCAAAAGCAGCAACTTTCTGCTTTTTTCCTAGAGAATTTTTATTTTTATTTTATTTTTTGTTTGTTTGTTTTTTCCGGTACCAGGAATCGAACTCACGACCTTGCACTTGCCAGGCAGTCGCTGTGCTGCTGAGCTAAATCCCCAGCCCCCACTAGAGCATTTTTAAAAAGCACGACAGCTGTTCTGTGTTGAGTTGTGTTGTGTTGTGTTACGTTGTGTTGTGTTGTGTTTGGCCCCGGTCGTGAGAAGCCACTGCCACGCGCCCCCCAGCCCCAGCCCCATCCAGTGGCCCTCGATCCTGGGTGCGTCTCACCTTGAGGAATTCGAAGGCGTTCTGCTGCTCCATCCGGGTCTTGATGCTCGCCAGCATGTCTTTGGCCTGGACACACTGCTCCCGGAGCTGGCTCAGGCCCAGCTCCATCTCCTCACTCAAGGCTCTCCCTTCCTCCCGGAGGGCGCTGACAATGTCCTTTTCTTTATTGTGCAGGAACTGATGCAGTTTGAGAAACTCCAAGGACACGTGCTCCTGCAGGTGCACCTTGTCCTCCTGGAAACTCCGTGATGGGCACAGGTGTTACTGAGGCCAGCAGGGGGTGATGGGGACCCATCCCACCAACGCGGCGCAGCCTGGGGAACGCCGGTGCAGGAACGTGCTTGTGAGTGGCTGCTGTCACCCTGCTAAGCGGAGCACTTTGGGAGGTTGCCTCCTACTTTCCCAGTTGGTTTAATAGCTTAGGACGAAACGGGCAAAAGGGGTCTCTAGGTTCTTACTGCAGTAGTGGTAACCAGTGCCGTACTGAATAACGTTGTGGAGGTGAATAATACCCCTCCTATCACACCACTGTCCACCAGGCAGTACTGCGAGACGGGCCACAGCCCCCTGCGGCCAGCGCTTTCCCCTCCTTCCATGCTTTCTTTTTTGGCGGTATGTGAGCTCCTCTCAGAGCTTTACATATCATTTCACGGTGACACCGTATGTCCGGCCTAGATCAGCTTCAGAGCCCTACATCCCTCTATCAGCTGCCTGTCTGATAGTGCCTCTCACTTCTAATCTATTTCCACCTCCGGCTAGTTTTTATTTCCAAATCTTATGTTCAAACTGTTTCTTTTGGCC